TACATTCGGAAGACAACGATAAAATCTGATTTCAAAGTTTAAATGTATAAGTAAAAATTTAATTATCAAACTGTATTTTTTCTTCAAAATCAATGATACGATATTTTCAGCAAATCTTATACGTGCGATACTCACTTCGAAGATATATCTCATCTCTGAACATAAAGTAGCGATGGGCTGTGGCGGATCCGTAAGGCTCGAAATTCTGACAGTGCCATCCCTGGAACTTGTTATCAGGCATTCGTGCGTCAGACGCACTCCCGTTATCATGTCCGTATGCTCGGTGGAATAAGATTTCACTAGCTCAAAATCGTTATTTAGATTTAGTATGTGCAACTTCGCGTCCCTGTCGCCGATAAAAACCCAATCTCGTCGCATATTCATGCACGTACCGAGCGCTTCACCTGGAATCTAAAAAGTACACCTTCGACATCGTAATCACGTTTCGTTTCTCGATGTTAAAAATTGACATTACTGTGGTAGACTTTATGACCCGTCCGGCTCTTTGATCCCAAACGGATACCGTCTTGTCCTCGTTGGCGGACACGATGTATTGTGTGTTCATGGCCAGGTTAATCACGACTCTAGGGCAAGGTCGGTAATGCTTGATCGGGTTATTTCTCGATCTCGAGTCGAACACGTACACAGTCCCGCAGGATGAGCCGGTCGCAAAGAGATTACTCTTCGGACACGATGATATGCAACATAATATCGAATCTAATCTGTCGCTCCTCTGTCTGTGAAAATAAACCTGCACTTTTTGAATTTTATATTTTCATCTATTGTGCTACATATTGTTCTAAATTTATGTCATTTTGTGGCGAAAGCCTCATATATACGCATTCGGTAAATAACGTGGTGTAAATAAAGTTTTGCTTTTTTAATTTTCTTAAATATGATTTAAAATATTTTCTAACTGTGGAACAAATTAGCACAATTGCAGTCCAATATACACAGTCAAAAAGAACTCAAAATTCAACTAGTGCGGCGCTCTCTTCATAGAGGTCACACGCTCCTGGACTATTTAAAAATAATATGAGTAAAATAATAAAATATGCAATGAAGTCAGTTTGACGAATAAACTTTGGAATCGCGTTCTCGAATTATCTGTTTCGACAAGCGAGACATGGAACGCATTATTTGCATTTGAATAATTTAGTGGGAAACGATTATTTCTGCCAAAACAGGAAACATCTTCCTCGCTCAATCTTCTTATCGCGAAACGGCCGAAAGGAAACAGTTCTACTATTACGTACAAATTGTAAGTACTCTTCCAGAGAAGACCAGTGTTCGTGAGTTCCCACGACTTGACCGTATTATCAGCACCGCAACTGTAGATCGTGTTGTCTATCGCCGTCATTTCCTCGATACATGTGTCATGTGCGAATTTGATGCGGGCGAAATTCTTGATTTTGTGAGATAATATTTTGCGTGAGGGAAGTTTCTTGTAAAGTAAGTCTCGTTTTGACGTACAAACTACATGAGAGATTCCATTCTGAAAGCGGGAATCATTATCATTATATCGTTTTCCACAAGGAGAGAAGTCCACCTGACATAATATGCTACCTACTACGTGCATCAGTAACACAGCGTCAATCTCATCCGCAGGCATTTTCTTGATGAACAATCTCTTCTTTCTAGACTCTTGCTGTTTCCATAGTGCTGTTTGTTGTTTGATTGCAACGTATGACAACATCCAACTCCGTTTGTCGGGTCTCGCTGTAATTGACACGTGACTTCTTACATAAAAAAATATGAAAACTTATTCATACCATAATACTGATTGTGAATACAAAAAATTCATATACATATAACTTGAATTAAGTACAAATAAACTACAAGCACATTCTGGATCGAATGTCTACACAGAGAGAAAAAATTTTTTTAATAAAGTCTAAATACATTTACTTAAAATTATATTTTTTATTGAAGTAAATATTCATGCTGTTTAAATAAAAATATTTAATTCTAAATAAAAATGTATAATTCTAAATAAATATGTGTATTATATTATGTAAATAAGCTGTTAAGAACCACATAATAAATATTCTTTTTAATAACAATATTTTCTTCTCAGTGTATTCAAGTTCTTACTTTATCCACATCCGATTGTTGCAATAAACAGAGTTGTACAAGCTTTCTGGATGCGACTTTTTATAAATAAAAAAAGATAGATATTAAAAAATATATATTGTTCTGTAAAACACGCTTTTTTTTAAGACGAAAGGAAATAAAATACTGCGAAATATGTCTGCCAAATCTAACGCAATGTAAGCAACTAATGTGCAATTTGCAAATGTTTGCGGAAGCTCGAACAGCGCTGGCATAAAATGGCATACAGAGTGTTTTATTTATTCACAAAAATAATTGGTCGTGCAAGGAAGGTGCTATTAATTTGAACCAACCGGGACATAAGAGCCAGCTAGCATCCGGCCACATGTGGTTAATTCGCGCTTTCCACAGTGAGTTTGCATCTTTTAAAATCAGGTAGAACCGTTCGCACACTAAGCTCAAAGCGTGTACCAGCGTCGACCCATCTAGAAAGGAACAAATATGCAGGAATATCTGAAA